ATATATATCACAGAAAATATTAATATAAAAAATTTTACTTTTATATTAAATTACACACACAACAAACAGTAACAATGTAAATTTAATTTGGCTCCTTACAATACTCATAAGTTTCCACACATATACATATTATGTAATCGAAGTACAAATAACGAATTAATTATCTTTAGCGAAAATGAGTAACAAATGTTTTGTTTCATGATATCATATCATTGACGAACATACATAGCAAAATTTATTATTGTTAAAGACAACATGTTTCCTAAAAGCAAAGTTTGAGTAATATTCAAAATAAATGCTTGGCAGCTAAAAATACAACTTAAATATTAAAAAAATCCAATAAAGGAATACAACAAATCAATTTAATTTATGATATTATGAATTTTAGCCATTTTCTATTGTTCACAATATTGTTAATATGAAAGTTTCCAAAATTTTAAAAGTCTAATATTTAGTCTTAAAAAAAAATTTACAGCTTCCTCATTTTTCTTTAAAAAAAATTAAGTTATCGTTTATCAATTTAAAAAGACAATTTAAATTAAAAACATTAAAAAGCTGCTATTTATCTGTAAAGATTAAAATATTCCCTCAACAGCCTGTAGTGGGCCATGGGGTCATGGTGGTTAAGGCTACACAGTTTTGCCACCAATTGTGTGATTGTAGCAATGTGGTCAGCATTGCGAACAGGCCGCCTTTACCTCGCACACAAGCCGGCAAGCTGGAAGAGATTCATGTAGGTGCTGGAGATCCAACCTCAGTTCTTCACAATGACAGTTCAGTGCTTTAACCACAGAACCAACACAGCTCTATCTGTAATGTTCTTAACATCGATATGTATTTTGGCACATTCTTGCATCTTAATTAAGCTAGCATTTAAGCTTTCACGAATTAAAATAAAAACGAGATAATGAACATTCAATGACATTTTAAGATAAAAATTTTATTTTTTATTTCAATGGAATTTTTAAACTAAACAAAATCTGGAATTACTTTTACCACAACACAATACTTATGTTTATGTATAATTTCAAAACTCCAAAAAAAATTTTTAACTTTTAAAACCTGCAAAAGTCACATTAAAATAAAATGCAATTGGCATATTTATTACTCTTTGCAAAATTTACTTAGCCTTTAATAACCATTAATGTGTGGGGTTATTTAACCTTACAGTTTATCTTTCAAGACTATATTCTAGAAATAAATGGATTAAAATAAAATGAATGTTTCTTTAAATGCATTTTACACATATAAAAGTTAATAGCAATGAAGACATTAAGACACTAACTGAATAAAAATTGATAAATGATTTTTTTGAAAAATAAATGTGTTCAAACTGATTAATACAATTTTAAACAATTAAAAATTAATAGTGATGTAGACATCTACATACACCAATGAAATGAAGAAAAAAAAACAATTATTAGTAAATTCAATGAGTCCCTGCTATTTAGCAACTTCTAAAGACTTTAAATATAAAAAGTGAAAAATTATGAAAAATTGAAATTCTTGACGAAGATTTTAAAAACAAATAAATTTTCTGAAACATGATACTAAATTTTAAAAAATAAAACTTTAACAAGAAAAAACATGATATGTCTAAAAAACAACATTTAAAAAAGACAAACACAAAACATTTAAAAAAGACAAACAAAGTTACATTTTAGTAGATGATAACAGACAATAGTATAAAAACTAAAAATGAGATTTTGTAACTTCCCACTACATTAGGATAGAAGAAAGAGATATTCTTAATGCTAACAAAAATTATTTAAAAGTTGTGCAACTATGCTAAATGACACTTACACATACTGTACAAAATGTTTTGAATATATTGCTACATTGAAAAATTATTTTTGAAAATGTATAATTAAATTACAAAAGTCAGTATGCTAGATCTTTAATATCACTAACAGAAAGAGATAAAAAAAATTAACTCTATTAATTCCTCAAAAACAGCACATTTCTATACTATAACAAAAATATAAATTAATAGAAATATATATAACAGTGTAAGAACTTATAAAAAATATTTTAAGTACATAATAAAACGACAAAATATAATGAATATCATCAAAGTTTAAAAGAAACTTATTTTTAACAATCTTTTAGGTCAATTATTGTTTGAAACAGTTGAAGGGAAAAGAAGAATAGAAAGAAAAAGAAGAAAAACATATAAAAAGTTATTTATGCTTAACAACCTTTTAGGTTTTTTACTCATTTCATTAGAAAGAAAAGAAAGGAAAACATATAAATTCTAACTCATATTTAACAACCTTTTAAGCTATTTACTCATTTCAATAGTACTAAAACAAATTCAAGAAAAAAGAGAGAAGAATTAAAGCAATAAAAAAAGACAATATTTTTTTCAATTTAATATAAACTAATTAATAACTATTTTATTTTTAAAAAATTATGTTTTGGTTTAACTTTGTTGTCTTTCAAAGCTTTAATTGAACTTTAAAAATAATAATTTTCAATACAAATCACATTATAAAAGATTGTCAAGAGTCAAGATATAAAAAAAATTATAACAGGTTACATTAAAAATATATCAAATGAGTTAAAAAAATTGCATAATGTAAATTAGATATTAATATAATTACAATATAATATAACAAAACACTTTATTCTTTTTTTCCCAAATTTCACAATTAATTCCAAATTAGCATAATTTTCCCAAATTATGCTTCTAGCATTTAAAATGTCTGCAATTTAATAATTTGTAAGATAATTAGTTAAAATTACTTACACTTACAATCAAGTATTTTGATCAAAATATTAATCATAAAATTTACAATCTAAGAAAAAATGTTTTGTGTATAGTGAGTACAGAACTATTTTTTAATAGTTTGTTTAAATAATAGGAAATTAAATTTGCTGTCTAAAATTCCAAAAGAAAAATTTCCTGTTCTTTTTTTTTTACATGAAATAATCTAAAATTATTCTTCAAAATTTTTAAACACAGTTTATTAAAACTATTTGTCTGACAAAAAAAAACTTTTTTTTTCATTCAAACATAAATTAGTCTAAACAAAACTTTACAATTTATAACAAGAAAACACTACCAAAATATCTGTGATTATCAAATTCATATTATTTACTTATATTATTTATTTATTTATATTATTTATTTATNTAAATATATATATATATATATATACACCTAATTATTTTTAATGAGCATTGATGCTTGTTATAACTTAGGGGGATACTTGTTGGGTACACATTATAACCTAATATTCATATAGTGTAAAACGTTAAAGTTTACTTTAACATATTTTTTCTAAATAAAATATATTATTAAATTATTTATGCACATACAGGGGATGGACAAAATTATGGAAACACTTCTATACTAAAGCACTTTTTCATATTTCTCCATTAATACTTAACGAATTATTTTAGAACTTCGGAAACGTTTGGATCATGGGATTTCTCATACACATCAATAAAGTTCAAATCTTTCAAAGGTCTGAGGGACCGACAATACATTACAAACGTAAAATAATGATTTTGAACACCTTATGCCAATAATTTAGCAATACATTTGTAATTTGTGTGATTTTCGACAAAAAAATTCCAATTTCACAATAGTAGTTACTTCTTCATCTAAATCAAAAAACTGAAAAAAGTGGGATAAATTAAACAATCACAAGAAACAAAGATATTCAAAACGATACATAGATACATAAATTATAATTCTCTAAATAATTATAATTTCATGAAGGAAATGTTTAACGACAAAGAATTTAAAATGAAAAACATCATAAAGTAGTAGTATCTTTAAACACCATAGTCGAGGATAAAATATAAAGACAAAATAAAATACATTTTTTCAGGATTTTAAACAGATTAAATAAAAACAAAATGAATTACATTTGCAAAGTTTGTTTTGAAATGAAATTAAAATTGTTTAAATATAATATTGAGAACAATTTTTATGCCTAAATTAAGTACTCTTCCTTAATTAAAATTTCAAAAATTAAAACAATGACAAAAAACTACAACAAATTATATTGTTAGTAGACTTAAATTGTCAATCAGTAAGTAAGAGCTTACTATGTTAAAAACAATATCAAAAAAGCATACAAATACATACATTTAAAACAAAAACAAACTAAGTTTAAAAGATAAGAATATATTTTATATTTAAATATCACAATATTTTTTATTTGGCATATTTTGAGCCTTGAAAAATATAAAGGGACTTGCAATATTTAATCTAATTGTTAAATTAAATCTTAATATTTTAACCTACTGAATTATAGGAAATTATGTTAAAATGAAAACTTGACATTCAAATTTAAAAATTTATCAAGAAAAAGTATTAAAATACTAGTGAGCCATGCTATGGTCTTTCTGTTACTTTTCTTACATTACACTTGTTTAAGGAGTTAAATTCCTTAGATTACTAGTAACTACAAAAAATGCTTTAAAATATTTTTCTTTAATAGTTTAAGTAGAAAATTTAAGTTTGATTAGCTCATATTGCCCTTAAATGCCTGACTTTATATGCCCAGTATTCTATAACAACAGCCCTGAATACATATTTTTAAAATTCTTGGCCAAAAAATGTACACATTTAAGGTTACAAATACAAATACTTAAGAAATAAAAAAAATATGCTCTACATCCCATGAACCACTACTATGGAAGATGGGAATTAACAAAATCTGCTTAAAAAACCTTAGAGGTGTTTCTAATAATCACCTTTCAATTCCCCTCTGGTTCCTCCAAAAATTCAACATGTTTTGATGTTTTTAGTCCCAACCTCCTTAATAGTGGACCCTTAAATTTTGATAGCATTTTTCGTTTATCCGTACTTAAATATTAATATTTATTTTAAAGAGAATAAATATTAATATTAAGTGGGTACTCTTTATTACATTTTCGGCAAGAATTCTAAAAACAAATATTAATGGCAGACTTTCACCTTATGCAACATATGAAGTCATATCATTGAAGACAACAAGAAATAAACACCACTATAATAAATAAAATATTATAAAACTAGATAAACAACTTATTAAGTGATAAACACTAAATATTAACTATCAGCAACAGTTATAATAACTCCTAAAAGTAATCAAAATTATTCTAAAGTATAAATATTTATTGAGTAGGAAAGGGAATGCAGATAAGTTGTAGATCAAAAGTAAATTTCAAAAAAGCATTCATAATAAGACTAACTAATAATTCTGGGAATAGGGAAAAAATTTCATCATGTTCTCTAACAGATTAACATTTAATAATTATCATGTCAATACAAAGCAATAGCCAGAAACAGAATACTTATTAAATCTACTATTTTCTATATTAATTAATATTTTCTTTAATAATTAAATTAAGAATTATTATTTGGAACTGTGACTAATATATAAAAACATTAATCTAAACTAATGATTTTTTAAAACTTTCATTAAACATATTAAAACAATTTGCTCGGATTCAATTGAATACAGAAATGTAGTAATCCAAGAATTGGTTTTAATTTTTTTTTAAATCCTATATAAAAATACATATAAGTTAAACACAGAGAAAAGAATATAATGATGAGAAAATACTATACTAATTATAAAAAAATTATTATATGAATTATTAAATAAAGAAGATTCTAGCTGCCGATTGCAGCTAAAATCTTCAACTCTTGAAGAAAAATAGCTGTTACTTTTGAATTTACTGCAATTCTTAAATTTAAACATGTTATAATAAATCATGTAATTAAATAAAATTAAATAAAACTAATAAGATTTTTCCACAAAAAAAACCTCAATTATTTTCAAACTGCCACTGATAATCTTCTTCCACAAAGCTCTTGAAATATGTGATCAACGGAACAAAAATTTTTTATTGGAATGAGAAGAAATTGTTCAACTCCAAAAACACTTTAACTATCAGTCAGTACCTTTATCCACTGAGATCTCCAAAATTTAAATTTGTCGAAACAAATCATATAATTAAATAAGATTTTTTCACACAAAAAATCTCAATATTTTCAAAACTGCCATTGAGCACTTCCTTAAACTAAAATATGTGCTCAACAGGGCAAAACGTTACTTATTGAAACAAGAGAGAATTTTTTACTGTAACATTTCCGTTGAAAAGTTTTCTTAATTAAAGAGTATTAAACTTTAACAATTAAGTATAGTGTAAAATAGTTTTACATACTACATATTTTTATATTTTGCAGGTACAATAAAATCAATAAAATAATTAAGTCATTATTTCCATGTCACTAAAAATTATATTTAGTGGTCCCCTTCAGGGAGAAAAAGAATTTTACTTAAACCATGTTAATCTACAGAAAAAAAATACATCTGGAATTTCCTTATTTATTAAAAAAACTAATTTATATTTTGAATAATTTTAGTCATTGAAATATGTTCTATTGAACTTAACTACATTATTTTAAATTTTAAGGTGTTAAGTATTTTCAGAGCTTTTATTAAAGTAAAGTTTTAAGTGCAATAGAACATGTTTTAATGGATCAAATAAAACAAAAATTATTCAAAAATATTAGTTAGTTACTGAATAAATAAGGATATTCTGGATACATTATTTTCCTTAGGCAAATATGGTGAAAGTAATAACCTTTTTCTCTCTGAAAGGGACCCATGACTCTAGTCTAAGTTTAAAACATTCTGACAATCATATCTTTGAAATTCGTAACCTCATTCATAGAGGATAATACATATAGTTTCATTACATACAGTTTTACACAGACAATTCTTTTGAAGATATTAAAAGTAATATAAAAATTTAGAAGGGAAAAACTTTCAAGATGGTGTTTTATACATTATAAAAATCTATTTTAAATAATATATGTGATAAAATTTGACAAGAAAAAATACTAAATTTAGTACGCATATGTGAATCTCTAAAAGAGGTTATATTCAAACTACAACAATATGTATAAATGCACATAACAAGAAAAATTTGAATAAAGGTGCCAAAAAACACTCTTTTTTAGCATTTTAAATATTAAGTAGCTGCCCATAGCTTTCAATTACCAAATAGAGATGAACACAGTTTGAACACTTGTACAAATATAAGGTTGTAACATATAAAATGGACTTTTAATTATTTGTATATTTATTCATTTCCATCATATCATCTAAGAAAGTAATCGTGTAATTAATGCCCAGCAATTGAAGTTGTGAAAATAATTGTCATTTGTGAAGCAGAAAAATTTTTATTTTTAACCAAGAAATGCAGAATATCATTTTTTGTAGGTCATAAAATAAAAAAAAAGCTAAATAAAATTAAAGTTTGAGTTTCTGCCTCAATCACCACATTCTCTATTGGTTAGTAATCTTTAACCATGTGAGTTCAAACGTTATGTTAAAAAAAAAAAAACTGTCAAAACAGCTAATTTTCAGCTCATTGGTGCAAAATCAAAGGCGTATGTGAAACTGACTTATTACTTTGTAATCAGGGCAAAAGTACATTTAGATAGATGGAATAAGTTTTGATGCAGTGTGTTCAATAAATTTTGTTTTTGCGATGTTTTAAAAAAATGTGTATTGAAAATTCATTTCATATGGAACAACCTAATACGACACTTAACTATTTCGAAATGCATAGAATTTTCAATCAGGTTTATAAGATTCGTCAACATAGGAACCATATCTAACATCAAAGGGATTAGAAGTAGCTTGTGCAACATTGCAGGCTGCTTGAAACGAGGAAGCACTCATTGCTAAGATGAAATCTTCAACATACTTCCTAAAACTTTCAAATGGGCACATTCCATACTCTGAAGAACGAGGCAATTTTCTGGAGGAATCTTTAAAGTATGGTTTACAGAAACTTGTATATTTAGTCACATCTTTCCCATTGAATAAAATTTTCAAGACATAATTTAGTTTACTATTTACGGTATGACTATAAAGTTCAAACACAATTCTGGAGGCATAAGGAATCATATTCCCATCATTTATACCAAGTGCTGTTGAAAGAGGTTCAAGAGTTACGTCATGACCAGAATAAAGCATGAAACGTGCTCGGTCTTTCTTGTTTATGTAACTTTTCATGCTAGATAACAGATGGATAAAGAAGCCTTGCATATTTAACATAGCTGCTTTGACATTTGAGCTATCTCTTATAAACTGACGGCCCTCCCAATCTAGGAATGCAATTAAATTTCGCACATGCTCAAATGTAACACACTTGTTTGTTCCAGGAATACATGGCAAATGAGAGCCATGGCAAACATAGCCCATCAAACTATCAAACATTTCAAAAGGATCCAAGATATCAGAATGATTTGGATGGTATTTGACAATAGGGCTCAACCTTCCCAAAAGATTAAGTACAGCAGGATGAGACTGCAACAAGCGTTTCAATTTTTTATTTGTCTGGGATTCCAACTGTGCTGCCAGAGGACAGTTGCAATAGTAATCAGTCATACAGAATCTGGTGTCAGCTGATGGTATGATTTTAATATTAGATATGTTAAAACTTGGCAAAAATCCAAACAAAAAAGCTACAGCACTTTGGTAAGTTCGAGAATATATTGTACTGTAGAGTTTTATATCATCAGAAGACCAATTTTTGCCAAGTAAGCCATGATCTTCAATGTAAGCCTTCTTAAGTACTTGACCAACCATTAAGTGCTGATGAGCACCTAGCAACGTCATTTGTGCAGATGTGCAGTGCTTCTCACCAGGATGTAAAGGGAATGTTGTGAAAGGAAATAAATGTTTTGCTGATCCTCTTAAATGTTTTAAAGTTTTCAGGTACTTCAGAAGAATAGGACTATTTTGAGTACCGCAATTGATAATTGACTGGTTTCTTATTGGTCGAAGGGGAGCTCGATCCCCATGGCGAACAATGACAGCGACTAACTCAAGTGAGCCATTAACAGGAGATTTACCTACGAAAGAAATTTATCTTAGATTTAGGCTTCAAAGATATCAACAATACAATCTTCGTTTAGCCTATTTTATTTTTAAAACCTCAATATATGGAAAGATTTAGGACATTTAAATGTGGGCTAATTTTAAACCCAGCTCAGAAAACTATAACTTTAGGGCCAAATATCAAAGCAAATTTGATGTTAGGCAATATTTTGGAGAAAAAACTGATCTGTATTTTTGTTACCTGATTGAGATAAAAATAAAAACTTCTTACAGCTAGCTTCTTAAAACTATGTGGTGGGGGCATTTAAATAGTTTTTCATGCAATTTCGTATAGCTCTTCTTCAATTCACACTAAAAATAGCAAGCTAGCAATAGCTAGGGGAAAACTCCTTATTATATAATCACTTTCCTATGAAGCATAATATAAGAAATAGAAAATCAACTCTTATCCAGTTAATAATCGATTTCTTTCTTAACTTTCAGTTATAAATACACAATTATGTACGTCACTAAAAAAAATTTTGTGCACCAATAAAATTATTTAATTAAAAACACTCTTTAAGTTATAAATTAATTAGTTAATTTTCAACATTACATGTCAAAAAGCATTTCATAAAAACAAATTACAAATTGTAATTAAATAGCGTGTCAGGAAAAAATTGTTTAAAAAAATATTTATATTTCCACAAATCATTAATGCTTACATCTAATCCAAATAGTTATATCCTAGTTTAAATAATAAACTATATCTGCATATTAGACACAATAACAAAATAGCTTTATAAAATTTACCAACTGATTCGAGCTTTTGCAATATTTTTTTGCTTTACTCGATTCAACCAGTATTTTTATCAAATAAATATTTTAATAAAATGTAAAAAATTATTAAAAAAAATCTCATAAAAAATGCTTTACTTAAATTTCTTCATGCACTCAATAAGTGCATGACTGATATCTTATTAATAATCCCTTTTATTACATAGATTATAATAACCTATGAAAACAAGAAGTAAAAACGGTTTATGTCCATTTTTTCTCAAAAATTTGCTATTTTGAGGATTATTAAGTTTTGACAAATCAATAATCTGGAAAATTGATTTTCCCCAAATGCTACAGCTCATTGGAGATGGGACATGCTGGGGCAAATTCGTTCCTAAATTCATTTCTGAAATTTATTTTTTCTCAGAATCAGGTTTTATAAACACTGACTTTTTTACCCTCTGGATTTCATATTTGTAAATTAAATCATTAAGAAACTGAAAGGTAAATTCTCTGAATAATTCAAGGTAATGTCTGAATAATGATAAAAATAATTTTTAGATAAAAGATTTTTGAAAACTTTAAATACAATAATGTAAATTTTCTATAAGTTTTTTTTACACTGAATGAAATTAATATGAAATATTAAATAAAATAATAATAGTAATTATAATAATCACAAATTAAAATCTTATTTAGAATGGAATGAATTGAAATTAAATGCTTCACCTTCTTGTCCAGGAATTATATCATTAGGTGGATTACAATAACGCAGAGCTTTCACCATTTTGAAACTAGAAGAAGGTGGCAACCTGTTATGCTGTAGCGGGTGAATCAATGGATGAGAAGACATTCTTTGTACTTTCATTTTTGTGCGTCCACTTCTATTTATGAGAAAAACTGCACAAAAAAATAATACTAATTAAAATTGATACAATAGTAATATTCAATAAATATGAGTTAAATTACAAATAAGATTGAATTGAGAGAAAAAATTGCAATTATATAAGTGCATCTAACAAAAATATATATATATATATTTCTAATTTAATTAATTTTATTAAGTGAAATTAAGCTACAAAATTATAGTCCACTTCTATTTATGAGAAAAACTTCACAAAAAAAATAATACTCATTAAATTTGATACAATAGTAATATTCAATAAATATGAGTTAAATTACAAACAAGATTGAATTGAGAGAAAAAATTGCAATTATATAAGTGCATCTAACAAAAAAATATATAGATATTTCTAATTTAATTAATTTTATTATGTGAAATTAAGCTACAAAATTTGGTACTATTCTGTTATGGGAAAGGGTACTACAGTACCCATATTACATATCTATAACAATATACAATCAGCCCTGCTTGGAGAAANAGATATAGGCTCGTGGTCTACAATTGATTCTAGCCAACTGTATTCAAATAAGCAGGTTATTCAATTATAATTTATAAATAACATTGAATTGAGAGAAAAAATTTTTATAATATAAGTGCATTGAATGAAAAATATATATAAAATTCTAATAAAAGTAATTTTATTATATGAAATTAAGTTACAAAATTTGGCACTATTCTGTTATGGGAAAGGGTAATAATCCCATCAGGTGCTACTGTACTCATATTACATATCTATAACAGCATACAGTCAGCCCCGCTTAAAGGAATACCATTGATTCTAGCCAACTACATTCAAATAATTCAATTATAAGAGGAGTGCATTATTCAGTGCTAAAAACTATGTTTTGGCAAAATTTTACTTTGAATAGTATGTAATACATAGTATAATGTTTTGAGGAAATAAACTAATTTTAATCATCTACAATTAATTATACTTAGAGCTGTTAGTGTTAATATCAAAAGCATAAATATCACTTAAGTTTATATAAAATTAATTAATGTTAATGATAAGTAATACATATTTGTGTGACATATAATATTTTTTCCTTTCAAAGATATCTGTAATGGGAGACTGTCTTGACATTTAAAGAAGAATGTTCTAAATGTTAAGTGAATGAAGTGAATCATACAAGATTAAAAAACCCTTGGTTACTATATAACTGCTAGCAAGATTTGATTAATTTTTAAACTAATACCTGACCTGTTTGGTTCAGGAATTAGACAGGGAGTCACTATTGATAGGATACTGACCACATATATTCTCTTCTAAACTGAAAAACGAAAATTCCATTCTAACTGATGAAATGTTTAGAAAAGAAAATGTTTTTTCTTCATTTTTTTCCTTATCTTTATGAAACTGGTAACCATAATTAATATGAGGAAATTTAATATTTGCTTCATATAAAAAATTTAATTCCATCATATGTTACTTGCATAAGTGATTTATTCGATTATCCGATAAGCAATTCAATGGAGACAATTGTATTAGGCACCACAGTAACAATTACCATAACACCAGTAATACCCAGTGATCAGAACTAACATGCTACAAGTAGGGAAGTGCCAAATATAAGTGCCTATAACAGCAGTATCTCTTGCTGCAATACTAATAGGACCTATAACCCCAATTAATTAAATATTAAAGAAGACGACAATAATAGTTTGACGACTTTTTAAGCTCCATTCCGAAACAGTATCCCAAATTTTTAATTCTCGTTTAAGTTCGTGGGTGATTAACCATCATATAAGCAGCAAATATTGTAATACAAATTGTAACAAACAATTTAACTTATAATCGAGTGAGAAACAAAACAGCGGCACATTTGTGTTAGTTTCTTGCATTACAACAATCAACAAACGATTTATAAATTATTTTACAAGCTTCGAAGAAGTCAGAACTTAAATATAAACTGAAAACAAAACTTTTAAACAATTTTAAGAAAAATACAAATTTTAAAACATTTTATTTTAAACAATTATAAGCTAAACTAATTTTCAAAAGTAAACCTGTGAATATCATGCCTATAATCCAAGCAATTATAAGGCACGCAAACAGCAATTTATGTCTTGATACAAATTTCATTACAGCAAATTTATTATCAATCATTTCTTTTTTTGTTCGTAATAGAGTAGATGTCATAATTATACATTTAAATAGTTAAAGGGCATTTAAATCCACTACCGCACTAATACTTTAGATAGCCGTAGCGCAGAAGATAGAAAAACAGCAAAACAAAAACAAACAGACGCAAATGAAGATAAACCACACCAGCTGTTGCCAAAAAAAATTTGTATAATTTAATTTCAGTTGGAAATTTTATTCAAATTTCCAAATAAAAAATCTGGAATGTTCATATAGTTTTCTGCATTATTTTTCAATTTAAATAAGCTTCAAGAAATCTTGGAGAATAAAATTACCGTTAATTAGTTACTTTCGGAATCAAGCTTTCAGTAGGCATTAATGCGCATGCGCTTACAATTTATTTTATTTACACAATGGCGGATCTTGATGGTGAATTGGGAAAACACGCAAGATGGCATTTTAATTATGCTAACTAATTTTTCTGATGTCGAAGGTCCTAATATTATGTTAAATCAAGGAGCGACATCATCCTGTAATTGTTCAACAATGATGGGAAGTGTTTCTCACGATTCGGCAGAATTACTACTTAGTAATCAATTAGAATCGACATCAGTATCTGGATCCAAAGACGCGGGGAATCAAAAGAAATTGAGCTCTGGATCTCTAGGAAGTGGAGATGCCGCAAGACCAAAGCAAGTTACAGTAACCCATCCAGGTACGACTAAAGCCAAACGTACATCTAAAAAGAAAGGTTCAATTCAAGCTGATTTAGATGTTGCTAAGGAGTTTCTGCGATGCAAGGAAGAAGGTTCGACAAGACTCGATCTTAGTAAATCAAATATCAGCATTCTTCCTCCATCGATGAGGGAGCTAACGCATTTAACCGAATTTTACTTATACGGTAATAAGATCACGTCATTGCCTGTTGAAATTGGCTGTCTCGTAAATTTGAGGACCTTAGCCCTGAGCGAAAATTCACTTACCAGCTTGCCCGATACTCTTGCAAATCTAAGGCAGCTAAAAGTTCTTGATTTAAGACACAACAAATTAAATGAAATACCGGAAGTTATTTACAGACTTACATCATTAGTCACTTTGTATCTACGATTTAATCGTATACGTTATGTCGGTGAAGACATTGCTAACCTTACCAATTTAACCATGCTAAGTTTACGCGAAAACAAAATACAGGAGTTGCCACAGGGAATAGGCAAATTAACTCAACTTGTTACATTTGAAGCATCCAACAACCATTTGAAGCATTTACCTCCTGAAATAGGTAACTGTGTCCAGTTGTCTACATTGGATGTTCACCATAATGAATTAATTGATATTCCAGAAACATTAGGCCAGCTAGTTAATCTTACAAGGCTCGGTCTGAGATATAATCAATTAGTTGAAATTCCAAAATCTCTTAGTCAGTGTGCTAATATGATAGAATTCAATATTGAAAATAATAATGTATCACAATTACCAGAAGGTTTGTTATCTAGTTTATCAAACCTAACTAATCTCACTTTGTCTCGCAATAGCTTCACATCTTTTCCTATTGGAGGCCCATCACAATTTTGCAATGTTTATACTGTGAATTTAGAACATAACCAGATCAGCAAAATACCTTTTGGTATATTTTCTCGTGCCAAAAACTTAACCAAACTGAATATGAAGGAAAACCAGCTCACATCTTTACCTTTAGATATAGGCTCGTGGTCTAATATGGTTGAACTGAATCTCGGTACAAACCAACTCACTAAATTACCGGATGATATTCATCGCTTGGAGTCCTTGGAAGTCTTAATTCTTAGTAATAACCTGCTCAAACGTCTCCCCCAGTCTATTGGAAATCTGCGAAAACTTAGAGTTCTTGATTTGGAAGAAAACAAGCTTGATAGCCTCCCAAATGATATAGGCTATTTATGTGAGTTGCAGAAGTTAGTTCTACAAAGCAATCAATTGACTTCTTTGCCTAGAGCCATTGGTCATTTATCTAACCTTACAATGTTGCATGTGGGAGAAAACAACTTAGCTTGTCTTCCAGAAGAAATTGGAACTTTAGAAAACCTGGAAACCCTTCTTATCAATGATAATCCAAGCTTGCATCATTTACCTTTTGAATTGGCACTTTGTAGTAACCTTTCAATCATGGGTATTGAAAATTGTCCTTTGTCTCAAATACCTCCTGATATTGTAAATGGTGGACCATCCCTAGTCATTCAGTATCTCAAAATGAAAGGACCCTATCGCTCAATGTAACAATCCTTACTCAAAATTTTTAATGTTCTGCTTTTCCTACTCCGGGGGGCCTGATTTTCCATCACTTGAACCAAGGCAATGGGGCGCTAGAAAAAAGGGGCATAAAATTCACATTCATGATTTATTTAAAAATGATATTTTAATGTTTTTCAACTTTATGGAAAAATATTTAAGCAATTTAAAAATTTATTATCTTTTATTGTGTATAATTTTTCAGAATAAATACCAAAAGTGGAAGCATAAGCAAATTAGCAGTACAATTTTCATCTTAAAAAGAAATAGGTTTCTTCTAAGACAATTTTGGTGAATGTGTCCAATGAGAAATTATGAATTTTATATAAATGTGATTGTAAGATTTCCATTAAAATTTAGTACATTCATTATTAATTATACTTTGTAAAGGTAAAATCTTTAAATTTTCAAGTTATTATACCTATATTATTCAGCTATTATATATATTTTCATGTTATTATATATATATCAAAATTATATATATGGTGGAAATACTTTTGCCTAAGGGCACCGGAGATGGTTGGGCCGGCCCTGTTCCTACTTGTCGAAAAGGTCCATATCCACTGACTACTGTTATATTTCTGCATAAGCAAGCTCTTAAGAAGCTTGGTAAAAATTTTTGTTCATGTTAATGGCTCTGCTTATTATAACAAACATGTTATATTAACATGAAAATTGAAGTTTAGAATTGTACAGCTGACAATTTCTTCACGAGAATGCTTTGAGACTTTGCAGATGTGTGGAAACAATTTTGTGTAACTGGTTACCCATCTCACGATTGCGCTCATATGTATGTATAATGTTATGACATTATGTACATCTATAATGTTATGTGTATTTTTAATGCATTATTTAAAGAAATTTATTGAAGCTTTGGTGGATAATTCTAACTAGTCAGGGACATGAATTAATTTTCTATGGATCTAAATGACATAGATATGGAGTTAAAGAACAAGAAGGAATTTAAATGAATTTTTACTTTTATAGTTATTTTTTTCTTTGTTGATACCAGTTTATCAATTTTTTACCACTTTAATTGTTTGTTTTTTTAATTTAACTTTTGTAGTCATTTATACAAGCAAAGCTTAATTGATTTTTCAATAAGGTAATTATCTCAGATAAGCTTTTACTTGACCTGGAAAACTTAAATTTTCAGTCAGAAGCCAGTGGTTGATAGACCCAAATATCTTAGTAGCCACTTTTTGCTAACTTTTTTTTTTTTTTTTTTTTTTTTTTTTTTTTTTTTTNATTAAATTTTTTTTTTTTTTTTTTTTGAAATTCATCTTAGAAATAATTTACGGCTGTAAAAAATTTATTTTTACCATAAAAATAATGTAAATATGGGACAAAATTTAGTTAAACATACTGACTTTAAGGAACTTAATGTGAAAATATTTTAGGAGTTAAAATACATTTAATGTATACATCACAACTTTGAAATATGTAAGTTGTTAAAGAACTCTCCTTCCACACAAATATTTTCACCACAAATTAATAGATTAGGAAGGATCAGAATTTTGAAGATGACATTAGGCATTTTAATGAAAATTTCGTTTTCCAATTTCTATTTCTTCATTGTTGTACTTTTATCACTAAACTATTTTTTTTAAAAAAAGCGATGGAGAAAAGTGGCTGGTTGTTTATTAAATTTAAGCCACAATTTTTTTGCTGGTATGTGGTTAAATTCAAGTCTGTGGCTAATTTTAATACTTTGCCGTTAGAAAATGTGCATAATGATTTAATGATGCACTGCTGTTGTTATATATCGGTAAAATATAGAGTTTAAGCAAGTACTTTTGCAGTTCTCATTAAATGCATGTCAAAAAAAAAAAGTAATAAGTGTTATTATTTTACAATTTATTTTATTACATTTTAACTGGTGCATGAAAGTTGTTGTGAAGTTTTAAATTCATATATGTTATATGTTAAGAAAGAGATTATAGACTTAACGAAATTCAAACATAATATTAATTAATGCTAAAACTTAATTCAGATTTAAGATTGTGTAGTTCATGTTAAAAAAAATATTTATTATTAATTAGTCTATAATAAACAATTTATTAATTTTAAAATGTATTGTTATTAAATGTGCTTATGTAAAGTGTTGCAGTTAAATTTAACTGTATATCGTGCAAAATAGCACAATGTGTGTTGTTCTTTTCAACTTTATCAAATTTTAACCTGTGCATGACGATTATTGAAAAGTTTTAATTTAACTTCTTCGTACAGGAAGTATTTAAACTTAGACTTTCAGGTTTTTTTAACCTCCTTTAGAATTCAAGAATGACATAAAACTTTGTTTCATAAACTTCAATTGTAAGTTTAAAGAGGTAAAATAACTTATTTACATTTTTTGTCACTTTGATCTGTAATTCTCTACCCCAAACCTTTAATGCTGATTATCCTTTTAAAAGAAATAGGTTAAAAACTATTAAGCAATATAAAGATTTAATTATATTATTATCAAAGAGAAATTCTTTTAAATTGCTTTTGAAGTATTAAAAAACAAATTAGTCATCCTATGCCTTCATAAACATGAAAGCAAGTTGGTTGAATTTAAACACATTATATTAAAATCAATCTTATATTAAAGTTCTTTGTAAATTTAAATTGAACAATTGATGATCTCTTTAAAAAAAATCAATTACTTTAAATTAAGGTGATTTAAGCCAATGATCCTTGTTACTATTATAAATTTATTTTTAATATTCAAGATTATTATTTTTATTATTGGTAATTTGAAATTTTAATCTAAATCGCATTTTTTAATAAAAATAAATGTTTCGCTGATAGAAAAGAGAAAAAAATTTATCGTAATTCATGCAAAAATTTCGTTAAATCTTAGTGATTCCCTAGTTTGAATAGATGTATGGAATATTGCTATTCTATTAACTTTGTTAATTATTTTTGTTATATAATTTCATCAAAACTATGTAAAACCATGTTTCCTATGTTAATAGTTGCTTTTTTAAACCTAATATTAAAACATCAGGGAAGTAAATTCAACAAAAGATTAAACTGAAGCACTAAAGTTATACCTATTATACATATTTTCCTAAGCAAGTTATGCTAAAATTAGAAAAACAAATAATTTGTTGTTTTTTTTGCAAGTTTTTAAATGATAAGAAAATTACTATTAATCTTATGGTCTTCATATGTTTCTAATTTTTGACTTTTCCTTTGAAAAATATTTTTTATTTTACATAATGTCAATTTTTTTTCATTATTGTTCTAGCTTTAATTAACACATTTTGAGAGTTTCAACATTCCATACAAACATACATTAAGTGTTCTGTATTTTAAACTTAATAATAATAATTATTTTTGAATTATATTTATTTCAAAATGCTAAGCATAGGTATTGATTTGATAAAATGCAATTTTGTTTCAAAATATTACGTAATACTTTTTTTGGACTAAATGGTGAAACCTCTGGACCAATTTTTATTCTAAAATTTACGATTACTTTTCTAATAATTAATGTACTTTTTTAATAATATAGATTTTTTTTTTTAATATGGTCTAAAGAAGGATTTCAGTTATTTATTACAATACAAATTAATATCTTTCTATATTATTCAACTATAAAAAACTAACAGCTGCCAAAAAACAACCTCTGTCATCTAATATTTCGTGAAATTTAAGTTGAAAGTTAGTAACATATTAACTTTTTATGAGAAAGAAAAGTTTAATCAAAAAGCTTCATTACATTTGTATTGATACAAATGTTTGATAGAGAATTGCATATTTGGTGGTTTATTGGAATATTTCCAGGAATAATTTGGCCCTATACTAGTTTTTAAAATGGTTGCAAAGCCAAAATTTTATTCACAATTTAAAGCTAGAATAAGCCAGTAATGTGTAAAATATAGCTATAAAACAAGGATAGCCAACTTTTTTAGGGAGAGTGCACTATCTGAAAAAAAAATTATCAAATGTGTGCCTTTTTTAAGACTATAAAAGGTTGGAAAATAAATATTTAAAGGCTGGTAATAGAATTTTTACTCAAAAAAAGCCAACCAGTGATAGATTATATATAAAATTAAAATGAATAAATTGAAAAATTTCATTTGAAATAATTATTAGTACTTTATAAATGTAATTATTTTACGAAGTTTTATTTGTATTTGTATCTACGAATTTTGACTAAGCTCCTGAAGACAATTTTTTATTAAGTCTTTATGTACCAGTGTTAAAACTCTGCTGTAGCATCTTTGTTATCTATGCAACCAACCTGTAATAAAAGTTTGCCAGCTATGCAGTAAAATATTGAAATAATTGTTAACATTAGTACTAAGCATTTTCAACTTCTTTTGCTACTTAAAAATATTTTTAATTGCGTAATTTCAACTTTTAATTTATATTTATTGATTTTTATGTATGTTCAACATCTTATAAACATTAGCAATCATTTATAGTTTGTCTCCAATAAGAACTCCCCCCCCCCCCCNTTAAAAAAAATGAAAAAAATCACGAACCCTGGTAAGAACTCCCCCCCCCCACACACACACAAAGTTTGAGGCCATCTGCTACTATGGAAACAAAAATGGCGCACTTCAAGGAGGGTAGCTTCTCTTCTCTCTAGGACTAACACAATAGACAGAAGAAAAAGATTCCCTTTCTCTCTCTGACCCGAGCCAAAACCTGTCCTAAACAGTTACCCCACACCCCTACTTGAAATAGTTATACCCCGTTACCATGGTCACCGCCATGAGTCCAGACAAATGGCTAGGAGAGTTCTTACTTTAGACAAACAATAATTAATTTTACATGTTTAAATAATATTTCAAGACAATGAGATCAATTAGCAATGACATAAATAGCATCCTGCATTGCAGGGACCTACGAGCTTTAAAGGTTCACCTACTGTGAAATATTTATGCAAAAATTTCTGTATATTTATAAATCTTGTTAGGAGTTGCAAATAACAATGTGTATGTAGTCTGAATCACTTTTTATTTTCTTGCATGTAGTATTTTGTATTGGTAATGTTTTTCAGCTATTAAGTTCCTTTTAATCCACAAATAAAAGGGTACCAATGTATTGTTGACTTTTTAATGATGTTAGACATCTAGTTATATTATAAACTCTGAGTGGTTGATGTTGACACAGATTTTACTCTATCCACATTTTTGCTATATCCGGTACAGTACTCCCTAATGACCCGGAGCCGAACTATTTTCAAAGCTCTGCTCGCAGGTTATTGGCTAAAGCTTCAGCTCTGGAAATTTTACTATATATTTATGTATGCTTTCGAGTTTGATTTTTAAGTTTTTTGTCATTAAAAGGAACAATAAAAAATATACTCATCAGCTAATACAGTAAATACAAATTTAACTTTAATTCACTGTTGAACTATTTGTTTACAATTGAATATTCTTAAGAAAAGAATAAATCCTCCTTCATATTTGATCTTGAATCATTATAATACATGTATTTTAATGCGGAGAAAAAGTTTTTCTACAGCAGCTTGACTATTAAGCACTGCTGTTACATTGAGATACAGACACAAATTATTTTGTATTTGTAGAACCCTCCAGAAATTAAAAGCACTGAAATCTTTTCTATTTTAATTCTGAAAAATTTAAATGACCAATAAACTAAATGATCCTTGGAGCATAAAAAAATTTAGAGCTCCAGCTCCTAGGAAAACACAACTCCTGAGCACTTCAAGTCCCAGTCCCTGATTCGAGACAATTGCTATTTTTGGGAGTTGGTTATAAACATGGATATTTTTTATTTTAATTTGGCACGCTTTTATTTATTTAAAATTTTAATTTAACCAATGACCAACTGTTGAATTCGTAACATATGAATGCTTTTTAAATTTTTTACAATTGTTTCTTCCTGTCTGCATTTCCTACGGTAGTGCCATACATTTCACGAGATATTTTACTGTTCATTTTTTTATTGATGTTTTAAAAATAAAATTAATCAATGTTTAATGTCATGATGGCAATGAATAATTTTTCTATAGATATGAAGAATGCAACTTTCTTCTCATAGAGTTTTTGTTTTTTAATTCCTTTATGCTTTGTGATCACATGCTGAACTGAATCAAATGTGTTGTTGCATTATTAATGTATCATACCATATATAGTAAATGTTTATAATTATGTTACATGACTATGAACAATGTTGTAATCTGTGTAAAGTTTTGAAATGTTCTTACAATGTAATGTAAACAAGATTTTTTTCAATAAAAATCATCATTTTGTTTATGTATATAAAGTTGAAAAAATAAAAAATATCTAAATAGATTTTTTTTTAAAAAAATCATTACTTTAAATGAGTCTACTTGTGAATCTGTATTTAACAATAAAATAATTTTAATAAATCTTTGCAAGTGGCATATTTATAGAAGGACTAAAAGGACAGCCACTCTAGGCTTCTATGTCTAAGAACACTAGAACTTGGAAATATATTATTAGTATTATTATTCTGGAAATAATTTATGGATATATAATATGATTTATAAATAAATTGAATTATGAAAATTAAAGGTAACACTTATGAAGGAAATTGCCATTGAAATTTCAATGATACTTACATTTTTAAAAAAAATCTAAGAATACATTGTCGGTAATAATTTTTTAACAGAGAATAATTTCTGCTTAGATTAATGTAAGAAATAAATTACCAATATGGATTTAGATTTGTATTAAATAGAATTTTGAAAGCAATTGAACAATTTTTAAAGTAAGTCAATCGAAACAGAATTTCTTATTTCTGGTGAATATTTAATTCAAGGGGGAGGGGGCAAAATTCCTTACAAAAGGCTCTTTTTTTAAAATTAAAACACAATTTTATATGCACATATATATATCTCACAATTTTGGTTTAGGTATTTTTTATATTAGTTTGAAAGTGTTCAAAAATCACTGTATTCTTCATAGATGCCAACATTTTTTCCTCTGCGCACCACAGTGAGTGCTGGTCTGGGAAAGCCTAGTTGGTAGGGAGTTTGATCCCCACCGGCTCAAGACTCCCTGTGTAGTGAATGGTGCATGTTTAGTCTGTCAGGTCACAAAGTCCTCCATGTTTTCATAACAAATCAATACCTTTGCGGGTACTAAATTGGAGATCTAGTTCAGGTCAAAATTACGATCCTTGGATGTATGAATAGGTCCGCCCTATAAACAGGCTGTGACGTGTGTGGCACCACTGAAAAACAAGGAACACACTATCTGATTACTTAATTAGCTTGATTTCGCCCAGCAGGCTTGCTGATATTAGCAAGTGACTTAAGAAACAACAACACAGTAAGTGCACACGTTTTAAAGATTCTCCCTTTTATTACTTTTTCATGTGCATGGTTTGGGAGATTGCATTGCATACAAATGCTGTAACGCATTTTTTCCCCTAGGAAAAAGAATATTTCAGGAGCCAAGGCTCATTTTTTCTATAAAAAAAATTTTTAAGTTTTGTATATTTATGCATATTTAAAGTTCTTCGTGTTCATCTTTGTTCAGTGAGCGAAATAAAAAACGTCAACAGCCTGAATAATTTTTTATCCAAGAGGACGCTAAACCGAGGAAGAAGCAGAATTCGAGAATCAAAATAATTATTCTGTGCAAAAAAAATTTTTTATTTAACAACAGTCGGAAAAAATTATTAGCTGAAAGGTGTGCAACTTTATGCATCAATTTAAATAATGTAATTTTAAATGGCAAAATTTGATAAATGTTTCGAATATTGCTTTAAATTTTTAAATATACTTTTTCAATTTTTAATAACTCAGAATATCCATTTTTTTTAAATTAATGTAAAAAAAAATTTAAATGTTTTTTAATTACTTGTAAATTATTTTTTTAATAATGTTTTGAGTTAATATACAAATGTTTACATCATAAATTACATTTTATCTAAAATGTAAACGGATGTGGTAGCATATATTTTTTTTTTTTAAATTCTCTTAATATTTTGTTTTTTAAAATGAAATGTACAGTGAATAAATTTGTGTACTCAAAAAGTTTTCGATCATTATTTATTTAAGTAATAAATTATTTTTTTAATATTATCGCTGTGTAAACAAGTTTTACATTTTTTACTATTATCCCTTGAAGTTCTTGCTGTAAGGTCAAAATTCGGAAAATTAATGAAATTGAAGGGACAGCTCTCCTGACTTAACTATTGAGACCATGTTCTCTAGATTGAGAAAGAAATTAACACATTTTTCAGATTCATAGCTACACATGCTGATTTTACTAAGACAGGGTTCATGCTCTACTTTAAAAATAAAATTCAAGTACTTTTCAAGGATTTTTTAAGACATATTATAAAATTCTCAAGGACTTAAAATTTCAGTAAAAGATAGACTAAAATTTAACATTTTAAACTAAAATGTTTTGACGATAATAGTTAGTTGACGATAGATGTCCGACGATAATAGTAGTACTGAAAAATAAGACTTACATTGCTCTCTCTCTTGATTTCGGAAAGTAATCTAAGTATAAAGAAAGCAAGGGTGATTGGCATCAAGTCAAGAATAAAATTCATGATGCATAAAAACATTGGATTTGAATTTTGCATAAGGCCTATTTTAAACTAGGTATACAACCTCTGAATAAACAAAGATTTGGGCAGAGGACGGGTGAGGGGGATGTTCTATATAATACTGTGATATCAATTAGATATTCAAAAACATCTCTGCCGGGAAATTTTTTATTTAATATTTAAAGTGTCTGAAGTATTTAGACAGTGAAATTTAACTTGCTCTTAAACATAATTTTGACCACTTTTCTATTAAAGAAAATTAATCAATTATTGGATGTTGCAGCGCAATTATCATTTTAATTTATTACCGGTCAACCATTTTAAAATGAAACAGTTGCCAACTTTCACCTCAATATCTTCTGATAGATTCTTACTAACAATTTTGGTCACTTTAACTGTTTTAATTAACCACTCACACTTGAATAAATTTTTTTTCAGTAGCATCGATCATACGCACTCGACATGGTCACATGAATACAAATCGCAACGAGTAGTTTTCAAATCGCGTATAAATACGAAAATCGATGTTTCATATTGCAAAATGCGTGAATACGAATAGTGACATTAGATTTTAAAATTGCAGAAAAACTAATCACGACATTGGGGTTTAAAAACGGCTTAAGCAAAAATCGCGATATTGATNCATATACTTCAATCCAATAACGAATATTGCTTCCAAAAATTTGGTAGTGTTATAACTTCATGAATCAAAATTTTTTAATCCTGAAAATGTTTCTCTTTATATTTTTTGTGTGACTCCGGAATGAGCACGGATAATCGAGAGTGTACTGTATTTAAATTATTATTTTAAAACTTTCTCTGGAAAGACAAACCATTTTTTACCTTGGAAGTACCACAATTTAGAAAATTAGGTCCCAATAGTTTAATCGAGAGAACAGTTGAAAATTTACAGCCCCTTAATACTAACTTTTACATATTTTACTGTATCTTTGGACCTGTGAAAAAAAAAATTTCTTTCTTCGTAGTGTCCAACCATAAAAAGTTTTATTATCGTGTTCAAATTTGGCTTGAATAGATTCATACAATGCTAATTGCAGTCAGATCCAATGAGAACTGTCCCTAAATAAGGATTTTAACTGAACTTCTTTAAAATTATTTGACTAACATGAATGATTAAATTATGTTTAGTAAATCACTCTTGCATCAAGTATAGTCTTTTGAAGAAAAAAATTCTTATTAAAAATATCAATTAACTTCTGGATATGAGCAGATTATGCAGTCTTCCTTAACTGCAAGACACTGGCAACTATGACAACGTTTCATGCATTTAATTATTTTTATTGTGTATATTAGTTCCTGTAGAATTGAACAATACAAAATGTAAATAAAGCAAAGAATAAAAACAAATTCATTTTGGTCTATTATACATTTTATTTATTTAATTACAGACAATTATCTTTTACCACCAACACGCGGTGCTTTAGTCTGAATAGGCTTGGCAGCTTTCTGTTTCTGGGCAACTTTTGTAACCTAAAATAAACATCAATACAATTACAAATCTCAAAATAAAAAGTGTCCAGTAAAAGTGTAATTAGTAGACTTAGCAACCAAAAATATAAAGAAAAAACTGTAAGACTACATAAACATTACAATAAATCCCTTTCAATCTTGACCAAGACTTTCTCAACTCATTTATCAGGGATGAGATTAGCCAAAAGGCAAAAAAGCTGAATTTCCAAGTTAGTAAATTTTACGCAAGTGCAACCCTTTAATAATAAATTCCAGACAGTTTAAGGTAATAAATAATGTGTTGACATACAAATGTGTACTAATTTATTATTATATAAATAATTACATTGATACTTAACAATTAGTGAAAATAAAAATTACCAATTGAAAAAATAAAGCTGGAAATTATATTTTTCCTCAGTTCACATAAGAGACAATTATTACTTGAAAAACTACCTGGTTTAGCAAATTCAAACTACTGAGAATATACATTAATATTTCATTTCTTTTAATAAATACTGTTATGTGATTTATAGCAAATATATCAGCAATATTATTTTTTTAATTATATTGAGAAAAAAAACTTTAACAATGGACCAAATCATTATGTTCATATTATAGTCTAATCTAACTAGAGCTCTTTGAAACATGTCAATAACAGTGAAGTAGAAATATATAGTAACTCCTTAACATACAAAAATTGCTATTTTAGTTTGAAAAATTACATGACAACCAGCAACTGTTTAGATAATTGTTTTTTATTTGATAAGAATTTTGCCTTTTATTGCATAAATAACAGCAATTATAAATAAAATTTTGATGATGAGTTAATCAACTCGTTTTCCAAAAAAAAAAATTTAATTAAATCCCTTTTTAAGTGATTGCTTTTGTCTGCTCCATCTTTTCTGTTTGCTATATTTAGATATTATATATCACCAACAGATTGGTGATTAATTTAGTTGTTAGCCCATCTTCAACCATCTTGTGACAAATCCTATTTTTTCTTCTTCGCACAGAATGTTTTGACAGGGTTCCTACACTATTACGAGAAAACAATATCCTGACTTTCGCAGGTTTTTCCTGACCTTTTACAATAAAATTCCTGACCTGCCGTTTCCCACTCCAATAAAACTTTTAACATTGCAGTTTCAATTAGTAATAATATGCTACTTAGTCATAAGTATCATAGATTGAATAGGATAAACACTTATATATTAAAGTAGAAATGCGTAACAGCACTTTATATCCCAAATTATATTTTCAGAAAACTTGTGAAACATATTTTTAATTATCATGATTAGATTAAACTTTTAGTGTGTTTTTGTAGTTAGATACGAAAACTATTTAAATAAAAAGATCAAGAAAATCTGTTGAATTATGGAAACATTATTTTATTTAATGTTAAGTGGAACAAAATGTATGAGTGTCGTAAGGATATAAAGGGTTAATCAAATCTGCGAGATATGTATCAGTATCCTCAAATAATATTTACTCTTAAAACATACTAGAACATTTGTTACATTAAAATATTAATTTTTAAAAATCACAATTTCACTTAAAACTGACTTTTCTTTTAAAAGATAATATTGAAATATAAAGGGGAAAAAAGTCAAGAAAAGTTAATTATATACAAATAAAAATTCAGATAGAAAAATTATGCAACTTGTGAGAAAAATAAAATCAAAAATATCTTTTTTTTTCAGTATTTTTAAATTTATTTCTGTAATA